CCAATGCTCATAGCTCAGGACATGCTGATTTTCTTTAAGTATGTGAATGAAAAACTGTCCACAAGAAAGTAAAATCCAAGGGCTTTGGTGTTGTTTGAACTTCTCGGACACCTTTCACAAAGGCAAACTCCACTGAGCATGATGTTTATATTTAACACATCAACACAACAGACAGTTATCCATGTTTGCAAATAGTACCCCTTCAGCCGTCACATCTATTGAACAAGTACATTGCTGACAAGACTTGACGCTCTTGGACAGCTCCTTGCTCAAACAGAGACTTACAATGTGCAAAGAGATACCTGTATGTATATACAGTTGTACCTTTTATTCATTCACTGTACATTTACAGTGAGATAGATCTCTCCTTTAAATCACCCTTTCACGGAATAGGAAGTTATTTTCATGTATTAAAATATGTCAGGTACTTCTCACTTGAAGGATCACATAGTGTCGTAATCAATCGCTTTTCTGTTCCTTATAATGCCGTTATTTAATTAGTTTTAAATGTCGTCATGAAGACATTTGAGGTTGTATTTCCAGTAAGAGAGGGTATATGATAAACTACGGAAAGTGAAGAAAGAGAGTTCAAGAAAGAGAGGAAAAGAGAGAAAGAAAAATGAAACAGAGAGAACGAAAGGAAGAGAGAAGAGAGGTATAAAGGAGGAGAAATAAGGAGGTGTAAACCAAAAGGGGGAGAAAAAAGAGGGGAGAAAGGGTCAGAGAAGTATGAAAAGAAAGGCAGAGAGCAAAGGGAGAAACAGGAAGAGAGCTACGGAGAGTGTAAGAAGAAAAAAAAGAGGCGAAAGAAGAGAGTGTAAAAACTAAAGAGAAAGATGAAAGGAAGAGGAATAGAAATATAGAAAACATAAGAGAGAGGGAGGGGAGGTATAGAAAGGGAGACGAGAGAGTATAGAAAAAGAGGAGTGAAGCAGGGAAACAATGGCGTTTCTAGCGAAGGGTTGAAGCCTTTATAATATGTCCCCTCGACTGAAGACTATGACAAATCAATAAAACTTGCGATGGGTACATAAACCCACCCGCCCTGGAATTAGGAGGATCTGGGAATACGCCACTGAGAAAATACATGTATATACAAAGAACATAGATGGCAGTGTGCCAGAACGGAGGACTGAGATGCATGAGGAGCGAGAAAACCATATAGATCAAATTAGAAAGATAATAAATGGATATCAAAATACACAGATATGTACACACCTAAACCCACGCACACACACACGCACACACATATTGATTGAGACCTAAAATATATTGTAAGTCAGTCAGATATCAACTAAGAAATCTAAGAAATCTAGGTTTTATTAGGAAATACTTAAGTCGTTCAACCACAGAGAAACTTGTACATGCTCTTATTTCATCACGCTTAGATTTCTGTAATTCTATTCTCTATCTACTCCCTAACACACAACTTTCTCGACTTCAGAAACTGCAAAATACTGCTGCACGTATTGTCACACTTTCTTCTCGTAGAACCCACATCACCCCCATTCTCAAAACTCTTCACTGGCTCCCGGTATGTGACCGAATCATTTTTAAGTTGTTGTTGTTAGTTTTCCATTCATTGTATGACTCTGCTCCTTCCTACAATATCAAGTTGATTGTTAAGTATAAGCCTACAAGACGTCTTCGTTCATCTCAATCCTCCTTATTAGTTGTCCCTAAGACGCGCAGTTCCTGGGGGGATAGAGCTTTTTCTCATTCTGGTCCGTCCCTTTGGAATAAGCTGCCACTTAGTATTCGTAATCTAACTACCCTTCATGCCTTCAAAGTTGCTCTAAAAACCCATCTCTTTCTAAACAGTGCTATTTAATCATGTCAATGTAGCGTAATAATTTGTGTTGTTTTAGTTTACTTTATTTTAGTTAAGAATGTTATATTTTTGTGATAGTAATACATGTATGTACAGCGCCATTAGCGTCAGAGCCTGGCGGATACCGGCGCTATATAAATATCCATATTATTATTATTATTATTATATTAACCTTTATCACGGTTACTGTCAAACGTTGATGTCATGTCATCAGGGGCGGCGATTTCTTTTCATGACGGAGGGGGGGGGGGGGGGGGGGTTACGAAATGCGGCTGACGAGGGAGCAGTGGTGTAATGAGCAAAAAACATTTGGGGGGGGGGGGCAGAAAAACCCCGCATCACCACTCTTACATGTTACATTCAGGCCCCGCGGAACGTTTTTCAAAGTGGGAGAGGGGGGGGGGGGCTAAAGTATTTACCAGGTATCAGCAAAGCGAGAGAAGCTAGTGAAACGTAAATTGGCGTGGGGTCCATGTGTAAAGCCACAACGGGGTCAGGGGGCATAGTCCCTTGAAGCTCAGGGGTTTTAGACATTTAAACAACGGTCAGATGAGCATCCAGGGGTTGCCCTAGGGCCCTTTGTGGGGTCCAGTGGGCAAAGCCCCCCGGAGCTCAGGTTGTTTTAGGCAAGAAAACTACGTTCAGATGAGCATTCAGGGACCCGCCTTATAGGGCCCTGGTACGGTCCAGAGCCCCCGGAATCTCAGGGATAAACCATGTCATTCCAGCTATATTTTTAAATCACTGGTATCGAATTAAAAATAAACCACGATTGAATCATATTAGGGGGAAACTGCCCACCAAGCCCCCTTGCACTCTTGGACCCTCCTGAGCCTAAAAGTTTGTTGCAGTCTTTAGTCAGTATTTGCTATTTTTTCAACTTCTCCGGGAGGTGGGGGGGGGGGTGTACGATCCACCCTAAACAAAAATTGAGGGGGGACGTGTCCCCCCTTCCCCTCGGGATAACCGCCCCTGCAATTGTTCCTCAATTGTTCATATTTATAATTGGCATATTTGGTTGAGCATATCGAATTTTAAAACCTCCTGTGTTTGCTTCATCCCTCTCTACATTTTATTCCACCTTTAAAGACAATGTTTTTCTTTTGAAACGATAAAGTTCAATACTTCGTTCGGCTAGTTGTAAAGGGATCAGCCTGGAAGTCTCTTTTACTTTGTGAATTCTATTTTGTCACAAACTGATTAACAAAGAGTTTTTTTTATGGAATGTAGACATGCACAATTTCACCCACTTTAGTTTTTGAAGCGATGCCCAAAGCTGGCGCCATCAGATCAAAAGGGGATTTCCAAAGAAAATTAACTCTGAGAATACTGAGCAAAATACTGTACGGGATTTATGTGGAGTGTCTTTATAAAAGTGCTTTAATGGCACTGTATGGCTTATAATCACTAAACTGTGCATGAAATCACATCCAATCATGCAAAAAAATCAATTGATCTACAACAGACTTGAAAGGAGTTTTGCACTCTTTTCAAACAATGTACATATTTTCCTTTCATGATGGAATCAAAGATAATAAAATACGGTAACCCTTGCAAAAAACATCATGTAAACGGGAAATAATCAAATGTATAGCTGAATATATCGGGATCTGGCAAAGAGAAAAGGCGTGTATTATTCTGACTAGGCCAAAATTCAAAAATCACTTGCCAAATTTCTTTATTAACTACAGAACTTAACAGTGAGCACAATATATATTTTGCCTTTCCGTCCGAGGGGGGGGGGGGGGGATTGGTCCTATCTTGGATATATCTTTTAAACAATACTGTCACTTTCCTTGCTTTATCCATTCGATATAACTATGCACCGTGGTAAATATTGATATATATTGACAAATTCATGTGTACCTCAGTCCAACAAAGCAGTTTAATGTTCTCAGAAAAGCTTTCCAGGCGACCTAGGCTGTAACTGGGAATTAATATATTACCCAAGGGCACTACGCGTGTTGATTTCCGGGACTTCAATAAAGAAGAATTCGTAAAAATGTATTTTGCTAAGACATGCACTCTCCATGGACTGCAATGCGATGGATAAAGACTGTTGACTGGAAATAATTCACCATCATCATCTTCCCCTCCATTACTGTGATCACCATAATCATTAAAATACTGAACACATCATCATCGTCGTCGTCGTCATCGATAATATTACAAGAATGATTAGCTTTTGTCGGATTTTTGTCCTCACCTTCACCGCATTATCATTACCATACCTAGTGCCATAGTCAGAGTTAGTATTTGCTTTTTCATGAGTAATTCAACTATTAAAGGATACGAATCAGCGTCCTCAACGCATAGTTAATATTCTAAGTATTTTGTAGTAAGATACATCAGTAGGGGGTAAAATTTTGCTTCTATATTAAGAGTTGAGTCATAAAACATTTCCCTACTTAGAATATAAATTTATGTCTCCGTGAAAAGACGAATAGAACAAACGTTTCAACCCTTTATTTTAGAGGGAAAGGGAAGGAAGGAGTGAGAAATGCACTCACTATACATTTATCGAAATGTTGGTGATTGCTGATTGTTGATGAAAAAGAGGAAAGAAAGGAGAGAAGCCAAACAATGGAACGGGAATGACAGAGATTTGCATTACGATTTAGTTCACTGCACAGGACTTTGGAACTTGTTGAAAACGAAAACAAAATGACAATGGCACATTGCGGTTATGAATTTGTAAAAAAAAAAAAAAAATCAGTATAGAGTATATTTATGCTCTTAACATGCAAAGTGCAACCGGACTATCTGCTACGAAAGGTTTAGATTCTTAATCGCAACATATCGTAGTCGAGCGTAATGAGATAAGTAGACGATTACAAAAACTGTGCTAGATTAGGATGTCTGGTACACCGGTGCTTCTTTAAGTATGGATGACTTGAATCAACAGCTTCATAAGGCAGCCTCGAGGGGTAAAATCAAAAGCGTTACAAAACTGCTACAACAGGGTTCCAACTTAAACCAGACGGACCCAGATGGAAACACAAGTTTACATAACGCGGTGAAGAAAGACCGTAGAACCGTCACTGAGTATCTCATAAACCAAGGTGCTGATGTTGAGAAGGCGACTCCAGATGGACAAACACCCTTACATCTTGCTGCATTACTCGGACGTCTTAAAGCATCGAAAATCATACTCAGTCATGGAGCTAATATGGAGAAAGAAGACAAGGACGGCCACTCTGCATTACACAGCGCTGTAAGGAATGGTCACCTTGATGTCACCAAATATCTGATCAGTAAAGGAGCTATGGTGAATAAGGGAAATAATGAAGGTAAGACGGCATTACACAGTGCTGCTTTCAGTGGCCGAATTAAAATAGTGAAATACCTGATCAGTCAAGGAGCTGAGGTGAACAAGGGGGATAATAACGGAAGGACTTCATTACACTTTGCTGCTGGAAAGGGTCATCTTGATGTCACCAAATATCTCATCAGTAAAGGAGCTGAGGTGAATAAGGGAGATAATGACGGTTGGACTGCATTACACCGTGCTGCTCAGAATGGTCATCTTGATGTCACCAAAAATCTAATCAGTCAAGGAGCTGAGGTGAATAAGGGGGGTAATGACGGAAGGACTGCATTAAACAGTGCTGCTAGGAATGGTCATCTTAAAATAGTTAAATATCTCATCAGTAAAGGAGCTGAAGTGAATAAGGGAGATAATGACGGTTGGACTGCATTAAATAGTGCTGCTCAGAATGGTCATCTTAAAATAGTTAAATATCTCATCAGTAAAGGAGCTGAGGTGAATAAGGGAGATAATGACGGTTGGACTGCATTAAATAGTGCTGCTCAGAATGGTCATCTTAAAATAGTTAAATATCTCATCAGTAAAGGAGCTGAGGTGAATAAGGGAGATAATGACGGTTGGACTGCATTACTCCTTGCTGCTTGGAATGGTCAGCTTAATGTCACCAAACATCTAATCAGTCAAGGAGCTGAGGTGAATAAGGGGAATAATGACGGAAGGACTGCATTACACGGTGCTGCTTTCAATGATCATCTTGATGTCACCGAATACCTGATCAGTCAAGGAGCTGAGGTGATTATGGGAGATAATGACGGCTGGACTGCATTAAATAGTGCTGCTCAGAATGGTCATCTTGATGTCACCAAATATCTGATCAGTCAAGGAGCTGAGGTGAATAGGGGAAAGGGTAACGGTTTGACTCCATTACACTTTGCTGCTCGGAAGGGTCATCTTGACGTCACCAAATATCTGATCAGTCAAGGAGCTGAGGTGAATATGGGAGATAATGACGGTGGGACTGCATTAAACAGTGCTGCTTTCAATGGTCATCTTAATGTCACCAAATATCTAATCAGTCAAGGAGCTGAGGTGAATAAGGGGAATAATGACGGAAGGACTGCATTAAACAGTGCTGCTAGGAATGGTCATCTTAAAATAGTTAAATATCTGATCAGTCAAGGAGCTGAGGTGAATAAGGATAATAATTACGGTTGGACTTCATTACACTTTGCTGCTGGGAAGGGTCATCTTGATGTCACCAAATATCTCATCAGTAAAGGAGCTGAGGTGAATAAGGGAGACAATGACGGTTGGACTGCATTAAACCTTGCTGCTCAGAATGGTCATCTTGATGTCACCAAATATCTGATCAGTCAAGGAGCTGAGGTGATTATGGGAGATAAGGCGGGTAGGACTGCATTATGCGGTGCTTCTCTGAATGGTCATCTTGATGTCACCAAATATCTGATCAGTCAAGGAGCTGAGGTGAATATGGGAGATAATGACGGTTGGACTGCATTAAATAGTGCTGCTCAGAATGGTCATCTTGATGTCACCAAGTATCTGATCAGTCAAGGAGCTGAGGTGAATATGGGAGATAATGACGGTTGGACTGCATTAAACAGTGCTGCTCAGAATGGTCATCTTAATGTCACCAAATATCTGATCAGTCAAGGAGCTGAGGTGAATAGGGGAAATAAGGCGGGTAGGACTGCTTTATGCGGTGCCTCTCTGAAAGGTCATCTTGATGTCATCAAATATCTCATAGGTCAAGGAGCTGATGTAAATAAGGGAAGTAATAATGGTTGGACTGTATTACACAGTGCTGCTCAGAATGGTCATCTTGATGTCACCAAATATCTTATCAGTAAAGGAGCTGAGGTGAAAAGGGGAGATAATGACGGTTGGACTGCATTAAACAGTTCTGCCTCAAATGGTCATCTTGATGTCACCAAATATCTCATCAGCCAAGGAGCTGAGGTGAATAGGGGAAGTAATGAGGGTTGGACTGCATTAAACAGTGCTGCTTGCAAAGGTCATCTTGATGTCACCAAATATATCATCAGTCAAGGAGCTGAGGTGAATGGGGGAAACAACGATGGAAGGACTGCATTACGCAGTGCTGCTTTCAATGGACATCTTGATGTCATCAAATTTCTCATCAGTCAAGGAGCTGATGTAAATAAGGGAAGTAATAATGGTTGGACTGTATTACACAGTGCTGCTTTCAATGGTCATCTTGATGTCACTGAATACCTGATCAGCCAAGGAGCTGAGGTGACTATGGGAAGTAATGAGGGTTGGACTGCATTGAACATTGCTGCTTTCAATGGTCATCTTGATGTCACTGAATACCTGATCAGCCAAGGAGCTGAGGTGAATAGGGGAAGTAATGAGGGTTGGACTGCATTACACGGTGCTGCTTTCAAAGGTCATCTTGATGTCACCGAATACCTGATCAGTCAAGGAGCTGAGGTGACTATGGGAAGTAATGAGGGTTGGACTGCATTAAACTGTGCTGCTTTGAATGGACATCTTGATGTCACCGAATACCTGATCAGTCAAGGAGCTGAGGTGAATATGAGAAGTAATGAGGGTTGGACTGCATTAAACTGTGCTGCTTTGAATGGACATCTTGATGTCATCAAATATCTCATAGGTCAACGAGCTGAGGTGAATAGGGGAAGTAATGACGGTTGGACTGTATTACGCAGTGCTACTCAGAATGGTCATCTTGATGTCACCAAATATCTGATCAGTCAAGGAGCTGAGGTGAATAGGGGAAATAAGGCGGGGGTGACTGCATTACACGGTGCTGCTTTCAATGATCATCTTGATGTCACCGAATACCTGATCAGTCAAGGAGCTGAGGTGAATAGGGGAGATAATGACGGTTGGACTGCATTAAACAGTGCTGCTTTTAATGGACATCTTGATGTCACCGAATACCTGATCAGTCAAGGAGCTGAGGTGAATAGGAGAAGTAATGAGGGTTCGACGGCATTGAACATTGCTGCTTTCAATGGTCATCTTGATGTCACTGAATACCTGATCAGCCAAGGAGCTGTGGTGAATAGGGGAAAGGGTAACGGTTTGACTCCATTACACTTTGCTGCTCGGAAGGGTCATCTTGACGTCACCAAATATCTGATCAGTCAAGGAGCTGAGGTGAATATGGGAGATAATGACGGTGGGACTGCATTAAACAGTGCTGCTTTCAATGGTCATCTTGATGTCACCAAATATCTGATCAGTCGAGGAGCTGAGGTGAATAGGGGAAGTAATAAAGTTTGGACTTCATTACACAGTTCTGCTTGGAATGGCCACCTTGATGTCACCAAATATCTGATCAGCCAAGGAGCTGTGGTGAATAGGGGAAAGGGTAACGGTTTGACTCCATTACACTTTGCTGCTCGGAAGGGTCATCTTGACGTCACCAAATATCTGATCAGTCAAGGAGCTGAGGTGAATATGGGAGATAATGACGGTGGGACTGCATTAAACAGTGCTGCTTTCAATGGTCATCTTGATGTCACCAAATATCTGATCAGTCAAGGAGCTGAGGTGAATAGGGGAAGTAATAAAGTTTGGACTTCATTACACAGTTCTGCTTGGAATGGCTACCTTGATGTCACCAAATATCTGATAAGCCAAGGAGCTGAGGTGAATAGGGGAAAGGGTAACGGTTTGACTCCATTACACTTTGCTGCTCGGAAGGGTCATCTTGACGTCACCAAATATCTGATCAGTCAAGGAGCTGAGGTGAATATGGGAGATAATGACGGTGGGACTGCATTAAACAGTGCTGCTTTCAATGGTCATCTTGATGTCACCAAATATCTGATCAGTCAAGGAGCTGAGGTGAATAGGGGAAGTAATAAAGTTTGGACTTCATTACACAGTTCTGCTTGGAATGGCTACCTTGATGTCACCAAATATCTGATAAGCCAAGGAGCTGAGGTGAATAGGGGAAAGGGTAACGGTTGGACTCCATTACACTTTGCTGCTGGGAAGGGTCATCTTGATGTCACCAAATATCTGATCAGTCAAGGAGCTGAGGTGAATAAGGTAGATAATGACGGTCGGACTGCATTAAACCTTGCTGCTCAGGAGGGTCATCTTGATGTCACGAAATATCTCACCAGCCAAGAGGTTGAGGTTACTAAGGGAAATAACGTGAGAAGGACTTCATTACACCTCACTGCTGGGAAGGGTCACCTTGATGTCACCAAATATCTGATCAGTCAAGGAGCTAAGGTGAATAAAGGAGAAATGGACGGTTGGACTCTAAAACCGAGAAGAGTGCCTCATATTTTCTTTATCATTCTATCATTTTTTGTCTATTTTTCTTTTTCTCTTTCTGTCTTTCCTCATGTAGGCTTAAGTTTTTCCTTTTTTCACTTCTTATATTATTCTTTGTTTTCCTTTCATATTTGTCTTTCTGTTTTTCTTGTTATTGTTTGTTGTTATCATTCTATCATTTTATCTTTCTATCTTTCCTCATGTTATTTTTTGTTTATTCCTTCTACCACCTTTTCTTATGGAATTCTTTGTTTTGATCGTTCTATCATTTTCTTTCTACACCATTCCTTATGTTATTCTTTGTTTTTTCCTTTTATCACCTTCTCTTATGTTATTCTTTGTTTTTATCATTCTATCAATTTCTCTTTCTGTCTTTCCTTATGTTATTATTCGTTACTTCCTTCTATCACCTTCTCTTATGTTATTCTTCGTTTTATTATTCTGTTTTTTCCTCTTCCTCTCTATTCTTACGCGATCATTTGATTCTTCCTTCTGTCACCTTTTCTTATGTTATTCTTCGTCTCCACCTTGTCTTACGTTATTCCTTGTTTTTTTTTTTATAATTCTATCACTTTCTCTTTCTGTCTTTCCATAAGTTATTCTTTGTTTCTTCCTTCACCTTCTCTGATGTTAATGTTTTGTTTTTCCTTCTATCAACTCCTTTTATGTTATTCATTGTTTTTATTATTCTATTATTTTCTCTCCCTATCTTTCCTTACGCCATCTTCGTTTCTTTTTTCTATCACCTCCTCTTATGTTATTCTTTCTTTTTATCATTCTATCATTTTCTCTCTATCTCTCCTTATATATTTATATGTTTTTATTCTTGTACAGTAATCTCTTCCTCTCTTTCATTTCTTTCCCACCCAAACACACTCACTTCCGGCTAAAGATCGCTTCCTGGCACGGTTTATGTTCACACTGCACGCTAAATCGGTTTAGGGCGATCGATCTAGGAAGCAAACCGGTCCAGAAGATCGCTTCCTGGACCGTTTGTCTGTTCACACTCACAGTTAGACCGAAGTGAATGAGATCGGGGTCTATTCATAGCTAAGTTACAAGTACTCGAATCATTGGTTGTCAATACTTAATATTTACTTGTTATTCTCAAGTTTTTATGCTGCTTATTTTCTCATATCCAGCTCGAACATAATGATTTAACGGATATCCATCTTGCTATCCTTCACGGTCACACCTCTACTATTGAGAAGTTAGTTTCTGAGGGAGCTGATCTTAATATCCAGTCACCTGACGGACAGCAGTGTCTCCATACAGCCATTAAACTCTGCTACAACAGCGAGAAAATTGTGCAAGAAACGGACACACTGAGAAAGGTGAGTCATACCCCAGAAACCCCAATGAGACCAACACCAGACAAACGAGAGTCTATAAGCAACAAATTATATTCTTGCAAAATAATGGTCAGTTTCGGAGTCTACATGGAGTCGCTATGGCAGTGTAACTGACATAATGCTGCTCCTCTAATTCTTTAGGGAATCCTTGAATCTGATACCCGTGATTTGTCAAAGAAAAAGTTAGTGTCTGGGCGTGTGATTGTGTGTATGGGTAAATTCACAATTTTAATAGGGATTTCCAATACTGTGAATCCAAGAGGCAGCGTTACACTTTGTTCATCCACCCTTGCTATTGATGGGCAATTCTAATAAAAAAGTAAATATGTTTTTATGTTTCAGATCTCTGATGAGTATTACAAGGGCGAACTTTCTCCTGAGAAGGCATTGGTGTTTTATCTCCTAGAGAATGGAGCAAAGTTAGATGTGAGGGACACGACAGGCAACCTAGCAATCCAATATGCCAAGGACGAAGTGGTCAAACAGATGATTTTGTCGAGGTGATACATTCAAGTCTAAAAGAATAACATGTTGTCCCTGCCAGTTGTAAAACAAACGATTTATCAAAGCCCCAAAGAAAGAATGCATTTGTTCATCTCCCACTTTTGAGATTTGGTAAAAGAATTGATTTTTTTAAATTAGAAAGTCTAACCTCATTGCAAATCTTAACAGTTGACTATAAATTTTACATATTTTGTGACAATTACTTTGTTCGGGCAGGCGCGTGGCCAGGGGGGGGGGGGGGGGGGGTGGAGGCTGTCGCCCCACCCCCCCCCCAAAAAAAAATAATAATAATTAAAAATAAAAAATAAAAACGCCGGCCAAAACAAAAAAAAAGAGAGAAAGAGAAGAAAAAAGTAAGAGGACGTAGGAAGAAAAAGGGAAAAGGAGTCGAGTACGTTACGAGTCGTCTTCTTTCTCTAATAATTTAATGAAACGTCAAAGCTTCTCGCGGGAGGTGGGGGGGGGGGGGGGGAGGGACTGAATACAGATAAGGTTTAAGTCGAGAAAGGTACAACGAATCGTCTTCTTTGTCTGATATAGGATTTCCCGGCCAAATTCGCGTGTTTGTCATTCGAATTCATTTACTTTGCGTTTAAGTAAGCGCAGATCGGCTTTGCCGTGCCAATTATCATTCAATTTTCCAGTTTTTGTATTTAATTTAGGATTTCGGTCGAAGGGATTCAATTTAGAAACTGCTCAACTAGCATTCAAATTAATATTCACTTGTCGAAGCGTAAATTTTATCATTCAAATTAACACCTGTCATTCGTATTCGTAATATTTATATGGCATTTCTGCACGGACATGTTCATATACCCGGGAAAGGTGGGGTACCCTCAATCGCCCCCCTTTTTACTACAGACTCGGAATTTTACAAAAGTAATTCACATCGTCTCTTATACCAAGCACACCCCTCTGTTTTCTTAAAGAGTTTCATAGTTTACTTGCCCGCCAGCAGATCGATGGCTAAAGACATGGCTAAATAATGAATCATGTTCAAATTGTTGACTCTAGTTCCTACTCCAGTCACAATATTGTACCCTTCTTCCATAATGAAATTATGATGAAATTATGATAAATTTATGATGAAACATAAGACAAAAAACTTCCCTACATGATCATTTACAAATATACTGAGACCGTCAGGTCCGTAGATGCAAGTCGCTTTTTTTCTTCTTAACAATCAAACTTAAATGCTGATGAATATCAGATATATCTAATAAGTATAAGTGTATAAATGCAAGAAAATGAAATATGATGAAATACACATGAAAAAAAACAATCTTGAAAGAAAAAGAATGAGCTATAAAAAGTGTGTAATCAATTTAAGTGCACAAAGTGCTAATTTTAATGTTACAAATGAATTAGAATGCTAGAAGTACACCGTCGCGTTGTCAGAAAATCGTTTTGCGCCAAATCAAATGACCAAATAGCGAAAGAAGCACATTTTTCATTAATTTGAATGAAACATACGTAGATTCTAACGAAAATTCCATAGATTTGAAAACTAGAAAAGGGAATATAAACCCGAGATATACCTGACTGCACTAAAACTGTCGAATTTGAACGCAAGACAAATTCATTTGAATGACAAACTCGCGAATTTGGCCGGGAAATCCTATAATACGTCAAAGCTTCCGCGCCATGCGCAGAAGGGAGGGGGGGGGGGACTGAATCCAGACAATGATTATGAGTCGAGAAAGGTACAACGAATCGTAATTATGGAGAAATAGGTATTTTGGTGCAATTTTGATTTTGGCTCTAAATCATGTAAAAACTTATCGAATGTGATATCATCTTGCAGGTAATGTAATTATCTTATGAGATCTCAAACATGGTAAAATGCAGTTCTGTCAAAAACAATCTCCAACATATTCCAACAGTAGTTATACATGGTGGCCATTTTGTAAATTGCCTGCCATTTTTTTCCAGTAGTATATATTTAAGGTAGTCCAAATAGGAATTGTGCGGGGAGGTGCCCTGAACACGGATACCCAACAACGTTTTACAACATTTTTACAAAACCAATCGAATTGGGGTTTTGCCCCCTAGGCCTATCTGTAAAGCGCGTAGAGGCATCGTCGACATAAGAAGGCCACAAAGACCCATATTATTATTATTATTATTATTATTATTATTATTATTATTATTATTATTATTATTACTATGATTTCTTTAAAATAATAATTATTATTATCATTATTATTATTATTATTATTAGTTCAGTTCAGTTCAGTTCAATTTATCGCATTCCATCTTTAAAACATTTTTACAAAGTAAGCACATGCAATTTCATGTAAAATATAATACATATATTGGGATAACATATAGATGTGAAAAGAATTAATACAAAACAGAATAAGGCACAGATGTAAAAAAATAAAAAATAAGAGAAGGTTTTGTCTGAACAGCTTCCTATCAAATTAGATATAGTAAATATATTAAGAAAACAAGTAGCAAATAAAGGTTCGGATAGTATCATTCAAAAATTGCATAACAACCGGCACAACAAGGCAAACCCAGTACATGAAATACAACATGGTAGGATGCAAAAGTCAGAAGATAGCAAAGGGAAAATGTGAGGGGAAGGAAGAAAGAGAGAGAGAGAGATTATTATTGTTATTATTATTATTATTATTGTTGTTGTTATAATTACTATTATTGTCATTATTATTATTAAGTCAATAAAGTAGCAGCTACGTGTTAGCAACAATTGAATTGAATTGAATTTGATTCATGGGAATGTACTTATCTGGAACGGGGTCACGGGCGGGGTTTCCTCTAATTGAAATATAATTCGCTACACGTTAATGGGTACATGACCTTCAACGTAATCCAATGTACAGTAAGTTAAAAACTAAATTTTCCATACCTTTACCAAGTTTTGTCATCATTTAAGTATGTTAAATATCATTTATGTTTCTCGAGAATATGAAATATCAAAGCTCAAGGTATTCAACCAGTCCATCTTTCATTATTGGGTTACAAAAAAGACACCAAAACATCAAATTTACTAGGGTCATAGATGATCTAGCTGTCAACTGTATAAGGTTTGTTTGTTTGTTTTGTTTTTATGTTTGTTTACGACAGAGTAACTACGGAGACCGAGAAGAACCTTCTGGAAATGGTGCAAAGTGATAGAACAGACAGCGTAAAACCAATAAACCACGCCTTAGGTGAGATACATTTATGCATCTGAGGCAGGTGAATATTTTTCTGACAGAACAAGGTATATTCACCTCAAAATGAGGGATTCTTTGATTCATGTTATATCTGAGGTCACCGACAAGAATCTCCGGACCGGTGTCAGATCAACGGTTAAAAAACATTAATATATCAACAACACAATTTTTTAATAGTAACCGTATATTGTCTTTTTTAACATCAAATCGTTTATTCATTTTGTCTTTCACTGTATCCTCTTGACGTTGTTATTTTTGCAAATACAACTAAAAATGAAGTGAGTTTGGGAAATAAGACTACAAGTTCATATGTACATGCACTGTATCCCTGGCAGGAGATTGTCACCTGTGACGTCAGAGCTGGTATAATATCTATTTATTGAATAGCATTCTGTTAATACAAATATTTGCATTGCTGTTTAATATCAGATGGTAGATCTGCAACTGGAAATTTTGGGGCCCTTGGAGGAAAGCTGTCTACCAAATCCCATGGGTTTACACTCCACATTCCACCTGATGCCCTTGAGGAAGATGAGAAAATCAGCCTTCAGGTACTGACCGAGATTCCAAATGGCCTCACACTAAAAGAGGACGAACTTCTAGTCAGCCATGGCTTCCAGTGTTACCCGTCTGGACTACGCTTTAAGAAACCGGCAAAGCTGATAATACCTCACTGTGCATTAGTCACTGCTCCTAACAAAGTACAGACAATACTGTATTCCTGGAATCAGTCAGGTAACTAGATCATATATTTTCAGCCTTTCCGAAAGTATAAACATGTCAGGCTGGTATGTGTTTTTCAAAAAAGGTAGTTCGTTGTTTTTTGTTAACAAGGTGGCACATAATCTACTAGATTTACCGCACAATGACATAGGTCTGGAGCCCGATACCTAATCAAGCAAAATAATTATGGAATAACGTATGGGCTATTTTGCATTCTGTGAGCTGTTTTTCTTGTTTTATTGCATTTATTTCTTTTGGAGGATGGGGGAGGGGGCACTCACCTCTGCAAATTTAGATCATCATTGGCAATGCTGACTCTACATCATTTAACATGTTTAATGTTGGGATATTTAAATCTCTGAACCCTGCAACTGGCGGACTCATTGTCACAAATTTTAGTTTAAAAAAAGACTCACAGAAGATCAATGCCCATTCTTAAATTTTCGGATGGGGATATCATTTATGGCTATGATATGAGAAAAATGTAAAAAATTCACAAAAATATCTACAATACCAGTCAGGAACTCAAATACGTTAAGAATTGTTATCAGAAAACAAAATCACTAGTAGAATTTAGCATTCCCTCCATGACATTAATTAGTTTGCTGTGTTTTCTCTTATTTTTGTCGATGCACAAGTTACAAAAAAGGCCCGAAAAATGAAAGTTGCCAACAAATAGCATTATTGAAACCTTTGACATTAATTATAATGCATTATGACTGATGAATTACATGTACACGTATAAGAAATGATCCACCATTTATGGTCATTTTTCCATTTCCAAACAGGTCGACGAATTTTACCCAATCTTGTGATTTCAGGGGCTCTTTGCACGGCAGTTCAAATTTCACATTTAAATGCAATTCATTTAAAAACAAAATGTCACATAATTTTTCACAGTGGTTACTTGGTAAAAGGACAAATTAATTATGGTCATCAGAAAATTAAATTTTTGATTGCTCAATTAGGCCATTACTAGATTAAAGCCTATATACACATTTTGTTGTTCTACTGTTACTGAAAAAGAATAATTGAGAGACATTTTCATTTTGGTTTTGTGAAGGAAATAAGAATTTATTGAATTGAATGGAAAAATAGATAAATAAGTAGCCCTCAGTTTTGCAAATGTTATGTTTATTGGAGTATGAACAATAAAGTAAATCTTGTCTAATTTGTCATTTTACCCTTTTGAATTGTACTCCAGTCGCAAAAATACGATGAGCTAAGAGAAACTTCCAAGATCTAAGTCGTTTCTCGTCTTTTTAAAATGAATTGAATTTGTTTGGTTTATTTGAAAGGTACACCTAAACGGCTTCAACATTCTCCCGACATTACTTGTTCAGTACAAGAACGGTGGCTAGAGATTTCAATCAGCCATTTTTCCGGAGGATACTTTGCGATCTATTGGGACTGGCTATTTCTGAAGGGCATCTTACTGTCATGCATGTCGTTTCTACCTAGAGTCGTGCCTTCAAATAGATTACCTATACTGGAGGTTCGTTTCGTCAAGAAGCCTCATGGCCAGAAATGGGTAAACGGATATTTAACACCATTATTTTATGGCGTATTTAAGTTTGATAACTTCAGGGAGCAATTTTTTCGTTAACCCTGGGGGCGATGTTTGAAATGTTTTACTCTCCCATTCAACATTTTCTGATGAAAATTAACAGTTGTCAAGCCTTGTCTGTATTAGAAGAAAACAAAAATCGAGCAAATTCATGTCTGTAAGCATAAACGTGTGAATGTTAATATAAAACTTTGACCTACTTCAGCCCCTTTTTCTTCTTAAAAAAACGATATTGTTACTTTTTTAACTCTTTTCCCTCTTGTTTGTCACGTATGTAACATTTTCATCTTGACTTTAGTTTTGCATGTTAACTATAAATTGTAACTTGTCCACTTGGATATTATCAATTAAACGAATGAATATCCTGATGCCTGAAATATACTTTTATACTAAATATGTGACATCTTTACTGTGAATAGCAGGTCCTATACTCTTTCTGGCATTTTCTCTCAATTGGTGGCCATTTTGGACGTCATCCTGGTGTTCCGATTTTCTTGACAGCCAAAGCCAGTTTAACTGAATTGGTTGACCCAGGCAACCACAGCTTATTCCTGTGGACGATTCCTACGCGGCATTGACTTTAGTTGAAAAAAGCTGAAGGTAGGAGCATGATACAAGCGTACGTATGATTTATATATTCTTGATAATCTCCAGATTACTTGATCAGAATCCTTTTTTATACTCGATTTCTCAGAACGACGTCCATGACTTAACTAACCCCCGTATCCAACCTGTGAAGACCGATGACGATGAAGTTCTGTTTCACCGAAGCACACTAACCGTTTCTTGCCAGCCAGTGAGTGGGAAGAGTCCCGAGACACAGGTAAGTGTATTTTTTTTTAACGACGGGTCTCGGCATTATTATGCGTAGTTAAAATAAATAGAATCAAGGGCCAGCTGGAAACGGGAACAATTCAAATTTTTCTTCAATAGTCCTTTAACAGTACAACCAATATTTTATCTGCACTTTTATTCAAGTATTTACACCGAACGGTCCTTTATAGCACATATACTCGAACAAAAAAAGTAATAAATATCTGCAAATAATAATGATTATAATACATGTACATGCGTTACTTTGAATGCACTAAATAACTTTGTCTGGCATTATAATCAAAATTGGAAGAAGGAACCTTTAATTGAAATAGATCAAAGTAGCAGCAAAATGGTGAAATTGATTGGATAAGGCTTTAATTTGCTTTTCTTCAATATTTTCATCAGTAAACTCTACATCTGTTTTTTCGGTGCATTTTTTACACATTCGGGTATGCAAACTAATTTTTTTCATCTCGCATTTTCCTCAGGTTATTCAGCGCAACGAAATGAGCTCGGATTGGAAAGTGACAGAGTACTTCAAGCTCGATCTACCCAACGAGAGTGATGAGACATTAGTGACACTTAAGTTGGTTCAAACTACTACAAAGACGATCTTATTCAACACATTTTTCCAAGGTAAAGTATTTCATGGAGAAACTTGATATCATGATGTACATGTATAGGCCTATATTTATTGATTTTTGTTTTGTTTAACGCTAATCATAGTAAGGCTACCACTACTTTGTATTCGACCATTCGACTATATACGGTGAAAGACGAGATTAAGATAGATCACCAGTCCTTTAGATGAACTTAAATATGGACGAAATATGTTAGGACCGAATGATTGTTGGAGTAATTGAGTTTCAGACAAATTTATTAGAGGAAAAAAAGAGAAATTGACCAAATAATGATGGACCAAATGGTTATTGGATCAAGACGTACAAATTATTGTTTTGAGGAAGTGGCAACTAGAACCACATGGTTATAGATTAGCCCTATTTGCTATTTATACTAAATAATGATTATGATACAAAATGTTGACTGGATCATGTGTATAGTGGAGAACATTTTTGTATAGACTGAAAGAAGAAAGATGATCTGGATATTAATTGGGCCTAGTGGCTTTTGATCGAATGTCAATTACTTTAACGTCATATGAGTAAAAAAAAAACATGCGTTCATGTATATAACCCTTGTCAATATACACTGTTGCTCATAAAGTTTTTTACCCCAATTTATGGAATTATTTTGACAATGATTTTTGTTTAAATTAGAAAAAAATCTTCCGTGTGCCCGTGCCTTGAGCCATAATGCATGGCCGTACAGACGATTTTGTTATGTTGGGGACCGGGGTAAAATGCAATGAATAATTGATAATTTATTGCATTTTCTTTGTTTTTTTTTATTTGTGGGAACTGCCCCTACCCTTGTCCCCGCTGTATACAGTCATGGTTCAGTGTCAAAGCAAAGGTCTCGTAACTGTGATGCCCCATGATCAAAACCGTGTCGATGTGCTATATTAGTGCCTTTTTGTGGGGCATCAATCCTCATTACTGTCATTTATGACTTAAGGGCGTAGGTCCCCTAGTAGATAAGCATATTAGCATACACGTGCTTTGGCAGTCACGCAAAACAAACACTGGCAAATTATTATTCAATAAAATCTGTGAATATATACTTTTAACTATATCTATTAGGAATAAATCATTGTCAAAATGATTCCATACATTGGGGTAAAAAAAAAATCAAACTTTATGAGCAACAGTGTATTGAAACGGAGCCTTGGGAAGCTCAGCAACAGGTACATGATTGTAGGTAATATGGGGAGGCTGTATCCATTAGACATAGCATAACAAAGAGTCTAGTACTTGTAATTGGTAACCCGTTAATTTTGTGTAATTGGCAGGAATTGGCGAAATGTTTACAGAACGGTACGCCTCTTCATCAACCACCGTTAAAAAGTGAGTAGAATTAGAACTACAATATACACACGCACGCGCGCGCAGGAATGTGCGCGCATGTGTGTGTGTGTGTGTGTGTGTGTGTGTGTGCGTATGTGTGTGGGTGTATGCGTGGATGGGTGGGTGTTCATATTATATGTAAACACTTATTTTTAAAGACGATCATATAGTGATATATTAATGCGAATCGATGAAATAAAGTTTCATCTCTTTAAAGTTCATTTGACGCCATCAAGTGGACATCAACCAATATTTTAGCGAGAGACTCAATACAAATTTTAAAAAGTAAACTCTGTTGGCAAATGCTGTAACAGTTATCCCCCTATAGGACTTTTTCAGGTTAACATACTGCTATGTACAAGTGCATAAACAATGCCTTAAAACAAATTATAGGCGCCCGTTTTCAAGGCAAATGGCGCAAAATCTTAGAAAAACAAAAAAGAGTCAAAGGCGGAGAGAGGGAGAGGAGGAGGAGAGAGAGAGAGGAAATAAAGATAGAGTGAGGGATATGTGTATAATATATATATATATATATATATATATATATATAAAGAGAGAGAAACAGAGAGAGACACAGAGAGAGACAGAGATAGCGAGAGGAGAAAAAGAGAGTTGGAGAATTGAGAGAGAAAGAGAGAGAGAGAGAGAGAGAGAGAGAGAGCAAGAGAGTGATAGAGAGAGAGAGCAAGAGAAAGGGGGGGGGGGCGAGCGAGAAAAAGAGAGTTCTCAAGCAGACGCGGAATCAGGATTTTCCAATAGGGGGGGGGGGGAGGCAGAAATCTGAAAATTGCGCACACCGTTATTTCAACTCAACATACCAATACCAGTACCAGGCACAATTTTGGAAAGGTGGCAGGCTCATGTCACGTCTCTTGTCCGATATCAACATTCTCCGTTTTTTTAAGTTATGTGCGCGAGCACTTGCCCGAACATCAATTTTCTGGTTCCACAATTTGGCGAGCGAGCGAAAATTTGAGCATATGTATGTTGTGAAAGCGTTATTTATTACCAAAATATACGAGATATAATATAAAAATGCATATTCGGGCAGCTCAATATTATTCTCCCAAATGAGTCTGACATTTGAAATTAACAAACAAACTTTAAGTGACTAGCTATGCACGTTAAATAATATAATTACTATGATGATGATGATGAAGGTAATTATAATGATAATGATGATGATGATGATGATAATGATGATGATGATGATGATAATAATAATGATATTAATAATCATCATTAGCATCATGATCATCATCAATCCTAGTAATAATAATAACGTAAATATTAGTAATCCTTTTTTCTATTTAGTATTACTATCATAATTATCGTCGTCATCATTAATGTATTTACTGCCAGACTCTGCTTTTTACAATTACCCGTGCCAGTACAATACCACCCTCGTCTTCAATTACGGGCAATATGTTTCCAAATGTAAATATATCACAGGCAATATATTCTGATATTATTATTCATTTAGCAGTACTGTCAGTGAAATGGAGTTCCTGAAGCTGGCCCAGATTATCGATCCATCTTACTACAAGTCTGTAGGGATAATTCTAGGGATCCCTTATGCTCAGCTAGAGAAGATAACGAGTATAAAGAAGAACGAAACCGATGCGTTACTGGATGTTTTCATGAAATGGAATGTCATGCAGCAACCTCCACACTCAAACAAACGACAGCTCTTGGCAGACAAACTACGAGAGATTGACTTGGGCGGCCTATCAGACAAAGTACTCAATGAATCTCTTATTCCAACAACACAGGTAAACTGTCAAGAAGGACAGAACGAAAAGGGAAAAGAAAGGAGATGAAATAAGAAGAGATAGAGGAACAAAAGCAAAACAAAACAATTAAAAAGAAAAAAAGAGGGAGGGGATAAAAAGGGGAAAGGTGGAGAGGGGAGAGAGAGATTGCGGAAAACTGAGAATAATGAAGAGAAAGGGGGAAAATGTAGAAAAAAAATGAAAGAGGAAGCAAAAAGGGAAAAGAAGGTAACAAACAAAGAAAGTGAAGGAAGGTGAGCTGGAAAAAAAGGAAGCAAGAACAAGTTAGGAATGAGGAAAGGAACGGAAATTACCGTTATTACCGGGTGGGTAGGTGGTACCAGCTGCAAGATTATTTTTCCCCCTTTTCTTTCAGGACCTTTCTGTCCTCATCTGTCAACCAGCACTGCTTTAGTTCAGATTCTGTCCTATATAAAATATGTTTTACTTCAATTACCTCCTCCCCCGCTCCTTAAAGCGGGACTGCACTATAGCTTCTTGCGCCCTCTATATAGCAAACAATGCCTAGGCGGTACCCGTTGGTCCCCCATGATCCCCTTTTTCTTATGTTAAGTGAGAGCTGATTTGATGAGATAACCACCTGTCAGTGGCCACACATGAGGGTTTAATCCCTCCTGACTAAACTAATGCAGAGAGGCTTTAAATGAATCCCCACTGAACCGCGCGATCTCCGGAAATACACCCGTCGAGCAAAAAAGCTATGAATGAAAGGACTGTCTCCGCTTTAGCGTTGAGGGTGCTTTTTTTTCTCAGCGGATTATCGACACAAAAACGGACCAGGCAATGGACTGGCGCTCTCATAGGGAATTCGACACCAGTGTTTACCCAATAAGAGGTGTTAATTTCAATCACCCGGATTAGCATTGATTTTTAAAACCAGGGGGGTGTTTCACAAAGATCCTAAGTTGGACTTAAAAATTATGGAAAGCCATTAGCACCTTTGAAAATATTTTGTAAAAGTTAATTTGAAAGGCATAAAATGTTGATTCAAATCCTTCATATTTTCTATCATCAAGGAGATTTTATGTTCTGGATGTGGAATTTATAAAAAGTCTAAAATACTTCAATTTCTGCTTTTGAAGATATTTCATTTTAAGGCTCCAATGGCTGTCCAAAATTTTTAAGTCCAACTTAGAGTTAAGTTCTACCTAGGATCTTTGTGAAACACCCCCAGTAGATCTAATGCAAGGTTTTGCATTTTCACACATTCGTCATATTCGTGCAGTCATTATTTTTCGTTTCCGTAACCTTTTGATCCTCCGAGAAACTGGGGGGGGGGGGGGCGAGGGGGGGGGGTATTTCTTTATAGGACTACGGGTTTGATGTTTGCAGACTTGTACACCCATAATGATATTTCCACCAAGTCTGATGTTAGCGAATTATGGTCTTCTGCACATAGAAAATGACGACCCTCTCCTTTTATCGATTGTCATTCTGTCTCTCCGATATGTTTTGTCCACAACCATTAGAATTAAGACAATAAAGCAAGTTTCTAGATGTGAATGAAAACCTATCCTTCAATTTCAACGTTTTTTTTATTCCCATTACTATTCAAAATAGTTGTATCAGTGGTGGGCATATATAGGCACATTTTAAAACTCTTACCGAAACGTTGTTGACTTCCCCCCTTGTCTTCGTTCCAATGAGGCTGAGATTAACAGTTTCTTTAAATGTCTCCTACTTAAAACGTTTTTTTAATGTCAGTGCTAAAAATGCTACATTTAAAAATGCCGAGGTCTTGCAGTATTAGCGTTTGCATATTATATTAAACATGTAGTTCCGAGGTAACACTCCAGGAAGAGTATCTGAAAGCCTGGAATCTCGAAAAACGTTTGCCATTTGACACCTAAAGACACCATACCAAAAAATGTGGCAAATTTCGGCCTGCGCCGCGACTTCACAGTT